TATTCTTCAGACCTTTCGCCAACCGACTATCACCTTTTCTAACATTTTCAGAACTCCCTTGCTGGAAAATACTTCATCAATCAGGACCAGGCAAAAAAGCCTTCGTGGATTTCGTGAATTCTCTTCTATTAAGAAAGTTATGATCGTTTAAAATGAAACACTCAAGACACTGAGAACTTTCCGGACAACTTAATAAACCCGAGCGATTGCTGCGTGCTCTCCGTAACCTACTATAGCGCTGAAAACCCTGCTTGTGAAATTCAGCACTACAGCCCTATGGTCGGCACTTGAAAATCGCCGAAGACTTTCGTCCACATCTTTCATCGAGAGGGTAGATATCGTATCTAACTAGAAAACCCTAATCCAAGCAAAGCATATGTGCAATTGACGAGAACCGCTTTCAATGCCATATTTTATGTACATGAATGATAAAGAAAGTTCACTTTGTCTTGATCAATATTTATGAAACCAATAATGGAACAATTTAACAAGGCTCGCTTCCAACCAAGAGACCAACATCATTTCACTTACTCGATACACATTGGGAAACGAAAAAAAGGAGTAATTTGTTAACAGAGGAATCATAGACACCAAGGATATTGTCTTAGTTTCTGTTCTCATCAAATACACCACAATCAGTGAAGGTGAGAATAAATGGCAGTGGAAACTAACCACTAGCATTAATTCACAACTCAAAAAGAAAAACAGAACGAACACACGACAACACTTGATGAAAATAACTGAACAACGTCGCAACGTCACCTACCCATATTTTTTAATAGTGCGCTTCTTGGAAATCCATACCGCCTGCTTCATGTTGTTTGTTCTCATTTCCGTTCATTGACATTGGTGGATTGTCAAAATGACCATGTCCGTTCACATGAAACGATCCTTGGAAATCCATTCCTGCTGGACTATCATGCGGAGCAGGCGGATATTCGGGTTCAGGAACGAACCTGAAAAGGCATTATCAAGAGGACAGGGGAACTATCACCTGAGCAAATATCTCTATTCCAGAAATATTGACATCGTGGTGATACGGAGGAAAACGTAAAGTCATGACACTCACAATCCTTCCTGAGACACAGGCATCCCATCGTTCGAGAGGATCATTTGTTTGTTCCATCCCTTCTCCGGGATACGACCACTCGCCAAAACTGATTGGAGGTATTCCACTTCTGCCAGTGATCTAGCACTTGCGATAGCACTCTTAAAAATGGTTTTTTTTGTTGTATAATGTCAAAGAAAATCAATAGCCCCACTATTATAACGTCCATAATCGACTGGATGTGACGCTTTGTTCACGTGAAACTGAAAAGAACGCCAGGAGCCTATGAAGTAGGATGCCCCTCCGCATGCACGAAGTCCCCGCCCACATTATAATTGCGAGCAACTTCAACGAGACTGCGAAAACGATAAACGATAGAGGTTCTGGTTATGAAGGAAGCGTGGCACAGAAAAAGAGCTGATATCGTTATTTATTTCATCAACCGAGAAATCATCTCAGCACGCAACTTCATCGCCGTATACTCACTCATACAGTGCTCGAAAGGGGCATTATTTAGGGCACGTTTCTCAGGTGGGCGAGCCTTTCAGCACCTCCCGCTTCACATTAGAACTTCTGATGCTACTATCACACCCTGATGCTGCTATCACACACTGAGCCTCTTCCTTAACATCTTGGTATGTTGCATTGTAGCTTCAGAGCGCATCTTAATCCAGCGTTCAATAAAGCTGCGACATCGGAGCCAGAAACTCGTAATCATCTCCGACTTAGCTAACAGTAAGCGACGGGATTAAGAGAGCGGATGCCATCGCTTCACAATGCAGGGAGGCGCGATACAAAGTTTGACATCATCTCAATCTTGGCTTGAGGCATCTCAGGCTTGAACTCAGACTTTCGAGGTTTTCTCGTAATTTCTCGTCCAGTAATGATTGATTACGGGAGGCAACTCGCAGTTAGAAGGAGCAATGTCTGTGCTACACCACTGCAAGGGGAGAGCCATCCAGCTCTATTGCATGAGGAACGGCTAGAACTTTTTTGGAAGTGCGCTGCACTATCAGAAGCATTTGGAGGGGTCGGTGGCGATGGTAGCCTATAACCATCGCCACCGACCCCTCTAAATGCTGTCCATATTGCAGAAGAAGAAGAAGCAGGAATCAAGCGAGTGGTACTAATAGAAAGACCACTCTTTGATGTATAAGTGCTCACATTACCGTTCACCCCTCTTCAGGTAATGGGCAAATATTTGAGTTCGAAAAAGTGACAGAACTTTCCCGCCAACCTAATACTTTTACATGTCTTGTCTAAGTCACTGGCGATTGTGAAGTGGGTGGAAACCAGGCGCCCAGGGTGGGGCTGCCATACGTCGCAGGCTTTTGACATCTTTTTCACGCAATCTCACGTAAACAAATCGACATCCTTGTCGACTATGGACCTGCGCCCTTGACGGACTTTTTAAGCTATCCACAAATGGGCACGCCATGCTCTATGGAACCATCATTTCTTTCACCCAAAAACCGAACGAAAATAGAGAAGCAGCATGATCAAAGTGCCGCATAAAAACATGTACAAGTAATAAAAAAAAGAAGCATACCTGAATCTTAGCTCTGTCCTCAGCAGAGATATTAGCTCCGCTGATTCTTTGTAACTCTGCGCTTTCTGTTT